TTGTTTTGTCTGTTGTCCTGAAACCCACCTATAAGATGATCGATCGCTACGCTACCCACAACAGGTAATGCGTACAACCTTAGCTCCTACATACAGTCAAAAACGTACACACCTGCAGACACCAGGAGTAACACACTGGCGCAGGGAGTCTCTCTGAGCACCACAGGGTGCATCACAGGCAAGCGAGGAGTAACTGAGGAGTAACTGATGAGCCCCTATTGATTCAGCACCTGCTGAAACAGGTGAGCGAGAGTGCATATTCCCAGCTCTCCCAGTGTCTCACCTGCAAACCTGAACTGGTTGGGAAAGATGGAGAAGAGCGTTTCGCTGTGCATGGCGAAGAGGATGGTGAAGTAGGTGCCCAGCGAGCCCAAGATGAAGAAATGGTTGATGGCTGTCCAGTAGCCCGTGTCCAGCCCGATCTGCACAAAGACACACAAGTAGCCAGCTCAGCCGCTGTGCCCGGCCCGGCACACGACCTGTGGCCAGTCCCGGCGCTCCGAGCCCAGCGACAGACGAGCAGGAGGGGGAAATTCGGGACAACGCGCTCCCACAGCACTACATCCACTACAATCTAACATCCCACACTGACCACTGAGCCGGACAGCAATGGCTAGAGAGGCCCCTGCACCGCTGCTGCCCATGGGAATGTGTCCCAGGAGGCCCTGTTTGTACGTGGGCCATATTTCATCACACAGCATTGCTCTCTTAGAACAGGACGACTTAAGAGCCTTCTGTCTTTAACACTGCTGTGATGCACGATTAAAAATTTGCTGAGCTGCAGAGGATCCTGAACCCTGGTCTCGGATCATCCAGCGCCGGCGCTCTGCTCTCTGAGCTAGGATGTTTCTCTGTAGCAGAGGTTTTGTGTGACAACTCACTAACTGCTGTGCCTCCTCAGTGATAACCACCCCCTCCCGTCTCCTGTGATCGCCAGTCTGCTACAGACACAGGCTTCAGAGTTCGTCTCTCGGAATGGATCCTCTGCTCCTCGCGACTGCGTGTTTGTCAGGCTCGTCTTCCCCGGACTCCGACCCACCTCGTCCCCGCTGCCGACCCCATCCCTGCCACGTAACCCTTGCACCACGCCCACCTGCACGCTCACGACGATGACGAGGGAGGTCGCCACGGTGACGGCGAAGGTCTGGTAGTCGGCCAGCGGCGTGCCGTCGCTCCGCGTGGCCTCCGCGAAGACGCCGTACGGCACGAAGAACAGGACGACGGAGGTGTAGATGCCCTGAGCGATGCAGATGAAGAACTCGCGCTTGTTGAAGAGCAGGTTCAGCTGCCCAGGTTCATACAGCTTTGGGTACTCCAGGCTGCGGTGCTCTGGGACGTCCTGACAGAGAGAGACAGAGATGAGGGTACTCCAGGCTGC